ACAGTTGTAACTTGTAGGTCTATAAAGGTAAGTAAGCATAATGTCTAGACTCTTTTGTTTTGTTTTTAGAACAATTTTAAATCAGTTATAATATCTACTTATACCTCTTATATATATAATTAATTTATATATATCAATACGGGTATATGTGTATAAAATTTAATATGAAATACCTATACTATAAAGCATATAGGTACTGTACAATTCTTATTTTTGAGTTTTGAAATTTGTCATTATTCATCAAGACTTCAAGGAGGATTAATGTTGGTAGCTTAAAATTTTGAATACTATAATATTATATTTATTATATCTGCTCAAATATATACACACTTTTACAATGAAGCATGATGGATACCAATATGACAATAATGGTAAAAAAAATGGAATCACGTAAGTACCTAATCATACATCATATTATAATAAAAATATATTATATATATACGGAATTTTTTTAACCATAGTTAATTAAGCTAATACACATTATAACTATTACATTTTTTTATAAATAATTTTATGTATACATTATATATTATTTTATATTAGATTCTGAGCGGATCGATGAATGTGTTGATTTTACAATGACAATTCACTAACTTTCAACTTGTCAATTAACCCTTCAGCGCCGGAGTTAATTTTTTTTTTTAAATTATTGTTTTTTGGCCTTAGTTAGTCTTATTAGACAATAGTATAACAAAAAAAAATAAGTTTACATATAAATCAATCATACTTTTTTTAGAACAAAGCGTTACCATTTGGTTACGCTAGGCGCTCATATTGCATAAAAATATTATTAGTATTATGGTACTATGATTACAAGTATAAGAATAAAATGTAGTAAAAATTTTTCTTTATTATTATTTATGAATTTAGAATTATAATGATGATACAAAGTAAATGTATAAGTTCTTATTTTTCATGAAATACTCGAAAACATGGAATACAAAGTCCTAAATCACATTTCATACACATAGTTCGAACATGTGATTTACAGTTGTCTCCAGCACAACGACGTCTTTTCTTGTTTGGTACTTCAATTACCCAATGATTCATTTGGTCATATCGTAATTCATCGGAAATTCTAGCACTTGTAATGGATGTTTTTGATTTAGATGGACGTCCTCCCTGCTTTCCTGGCTGTCCATATTTAGTTAGATAAGTAGAAGCAATTTCGCGTTTGAACTCTAACTTTGTATAAGTACTTCCACTTTTTTTTGACAAAACCCATGCATTATTTATTGCCACGTCCAAGAGCCAAGTAAAAATAGGCCACCACCATTTTTTCCCACGAATCCCTACTCGATATCTGGCTATGTCTTCATCCATTCGATCGACTCCACCCATGTGTTTATTATAATTAGCAATTATTGCTGGCCGAGGAACTTGAATGAATTTTTTTTGTTGTTGAGAAAATCGTCTGACTGTCGACACGGGTTCAGTTCCATGAATATTAGAAGCCATTGAAACAACTGAATTATCAACCCAACGAACGACAATCAATCCATCTTCACGCACATTTTATCTGTTGTATTTATATTCATATTATCTGCACAATGTAAAAACCGCGAAATTTGAAGAAACCGATCACGGCGCATTGCATTACCTTGTACCCATGCACCTGGTTCGGATCTACGAGCTGATTTTTCAGCCAATATCTGACGTTTTTTTTTTTTATCTACTCTTATGGTTTCATTTGTTTTTTTATGATCATTTATGAATTCTCCGATTCGAGAGTTATTAGAAAATACAAGTTCAGCAGTTGAAGCTAGTTGGGGACCGGATAAATTATCTAATATTCCCCCTTCTTCCTCATCACCAGAATCTTCGTCAGTAAGTATACTCGGATTAGGGGGCGTAATGTATACATCTGGAGTACCAAATTCTTCGCTAATTTCGGGCTCATTGTCTAATATGTTTAAAAGTTCTTCTAAAGTAAAATCATTCCTAAAAATGTTAACAAAAAATACTTATAGTTATTTATTTTGAAAAATCTATAATATTATGTGTCTTCAATACTACACGTGTAGTATGTTTTTTATTGTTCAAAATAATTTACAAAAATGTTTCTATGTTATGCATCATAAAATAAAATACGAAAATATACTAAATCGATTATAAATATATTTTTGTAAAACAATATAATATGTAATTAAATCATCAATGAGTCTAATAATAAATAAAAGTTGTATTTTTCGTATACAGCACATGAACATATTTCTAACGCCCAACAGCGTGTATCACATTGAACATAATATTATGAACGTACTATAAACGCCTAGTGTAACCATATGGTTACACTCAGGTTTATCCACGATTGTATAAAAGAAAATAATTGCAAATGTTCAAATAATATATTCAACGTCTTATAATACTAGTATTGAGCACGACTGTATAAAAATACTACAAAAAAATAATAGGTTCATATAAATATTCTACTTACGCTAAAGGTATATCCATTATTTTTGTTCGCGGAATATCGACAATTGAATCGCTCGGCCGAACAACGGGACAAGCGCCAGTCTCGGCATTATTGCGTTTATCGGTGGAATAACGGGGCACGGGTATAATTTATTGTATATGTTCACTATCGCATTGAAATTACAAAAAAATAGATTAAAAGGCAATATTAAGTTAAGTTTTAAGTCGTGGAACAACGTGACACGTGTCAAATTGTATCATATATTTATATAGTACCTAGTTATCTTATTGTTGCGAGCGGAAATCGTGTTATTACTATCAACGTTTTATATTTATATAAACATAATAATCCATTATATCTCTCGCATACTTCGTGTTAGTGTTTTTTTTGTTTGCGTAGTGACTAGTGACAATGTCTTTAACCGTCAAACTTACTCAAAGTGACGAAATACGACTAAATAAAACGCGTAAACGTTCTATTAATCCATCTGAATGGGCTGCAAATAAAAGAAAAAGATTGCGCGATTCTGGTGAATCATACACATCAAAGCGAGGAGCTATTATTCCTGGAAAAACTCCACCAACTGAGGTACTTAAGCTTGTTAATAAAAAATAAAAATTATTAAAAACTAGGGATGTAAAAAATGTTTGAGTTTACATTTTATAATATGTGTAGTTGACAGTAATATATTTTTCCGATTTTTTTTTTATTTATTTATACAATATATTTTATTTCCCAACAATACGTCATGTATAAATAGCAATATTATAGTTTTTTCACGTAAATATTACAATTGCAGGCACGAGTATGTAATGCGGAAACTTGTCCTAAGCGTGGTTGTACCGATTTAAGCCTTCCAACAAAAATCAGATTTTATAATAATTACCATAATATTACTTATGATGAACAGTCAGCCCTACTTAAGTCACTAATGAAAATTTCAGAAGTTGGTAGACGTAGGGACGGTCGGAATGATGCAACGTCACGTCGTACTTGTACTTTTAAATATACCATTGACGATCTCGAAGTATGTCGCTTAACGTTTATTAACACATTTCAAATTACCAAGCGTCGGGTCGAAACAATTCAAAATAAAATAAAAAATAATATCGATACTCCGATTGATGGTCGTGGAAAACATAGGAATAGACCTCATGCAATCCCTAATTTGGTGAGACAAATGATTAGACAACATATAGATAGTTTTCCGAGACAACTTTCTCACTATAGTAGGAAAAATAGTGAAAAAGAATGTTTAAGCCCTGATTTAAGTCTATCTAAAATGTATAGCTTGTTTATTGAACTAAACCCTGATGTAAAAGCAAGTAAGACACTGTATGAAGAAGTTTTTACTAAGGAGTTCAATCTCCGGTTTGGTGTTCCCCGTTCAGATACGTGTAAGTACTGTGACATGAACTACATTAAATTAATTTCTGCAAAAACTGAAGAGGAAAGGAAGAATATCGAAATACAGAGTAATTTACATCATAGCAAAGCTGATCAAGCGTACAAACAGTTAAAACAAGATGCAGATATAGCCCGTAAAAATAAAAATATTATTGTGTTATGTGTGGATTTGCAACAAGTACTTTTTTGTCCAACGCTCTTCTTGTTCAGTCTCGATATTTCTCTGAAATAAATCAAAAATTTTTATGTTCTGGGCATAGTTTTCTTCCCTGTGACAGAGACTTTGCCCTGATCGAAAAAAAAAAAAAAAATTCAAAGGTGTTCATTCCTGGAGATTGGAAGTATATTATCGCTGAGGCAAGGTTGAATAAGCCTTTTTTTGTCATCGAGATGCAACAAAATGATTTTAAAGATTTCACTCCAGTAGAGAAAGCACTGATAAGGAATACGAAAATGAAAATCACAGAAGGTATGTGGATGAAAGTGACTAGTGATGATCCCACAAACGTATATTTGAGGAGCAGTCATAACATACTGAGACCATGGAGTATTTTTCAAATATACGGGAGAAAAATAAACTTAGCTTCATTGTGCAACTTGCCAGAAATTTACACAGAAGTCATACCTATCTCAGAAGAGAAGAAGAAAGACTTAATTGATATGTGCGATTATTTGCCACAAGAAAAAAAACAATTTTATCAGGACTTACTAAACTTTTGATGGTTTATTATTTATATAAGTTTAAATCAAAAAGATAAAAAATATTTTACATGACAGTTTCATTTTGTATACTTAATTTTTCCTTTTAATATTATACTCAAGTTTGTCAAAAATAAAAAGAAGAATAAAATAACATAAATATTAAGTGAAACATTTTTTTTTAAAATTTAATATTATAAATCATATATTTTAAATTTTAAATGTATAAACAATAAAATTAAATAATAATATTTTTGCGTATTATGTTTCATTTTCGTATTTATACTTTAACATAAATATTATATTTTGTCTGATTAGTAGACTCAATGGATATTATTACATTAAGGTAAGTTGATTAAGAGAAGACGGATGGAACAACGAGCTACGTGCAATGTTCAACCAACACGGACAGAAATGGTCCGTAATATTTTAAACGCGTCTACTGTAAAATGCGCTCAGTGGCGCTTGTCCCGTTGTTCGGCCGAGCGCTTCAATTACTGTAGGCGTGTTCAGAATGAAATGAACATCACAAAATACCGAAAAATAATTACACGGGTTTGTTCGAGTAATAAACAATTGATATTTGTGTATTTCGACTAAAAATAACTTTGTAGATAAGAAATACGGGCGTTGGGACAACGCATGTTTACTGTAACCATATGGTTACACGAGGCGCTGAAGGGTTAACCCACTGTAATATGTACCTCCAAGTTCATGTATATTTCATTGGGTTTTAAGGTAATTTAAATTTGTTAGTTAATCATGCTGATATTTACTAAACTAAAATAAAAATCAATAAATGCAATTTAAATTTTATTTTGTTAGCATTATTTATTTTATTTTATTATTATGATTATATCTAAATATCAACATACCATTAGTTATTACTTATTAGTATTAAATGAATATAAATAATTACAAATTATTAAGATAAAAAATACTCAATATAATATGCATTTTCAGATTAGATTAAAATGTTCAGCGTTAAATTATAGGGGGGAAAGGAGGGGCAAAATCAAATGTTGGGGGGGGCACTTGCCCACCATGGCCCTAGTGTAGCGCCACCCCTAATCGAATCTATTTTTCTACTATAGATTATCCAAACAAACACAACAAAATTAAATAAATATCACACCATTGTAAAATCAATACATTCATTGTTTCGCTTAGAATATAAAATCTAATAATTATATAATTAAATAATTTTTAAATAATATAAAAAATATGTTGTGTATAATATGATATTATAAAATTGATATTTTAAATTAATTTATTCTTTGGTGTGCTTAAATGTGTGTGGATTGACTGTTAATACTTTTATTTTATAACTCTCAATCCTTTTTATTATTTTGAAATACATAGTACCTAATATTATATTATATTTAACAAATTTTTTTTTTGCTTTAAATTTTTAATTATTAGAAAATATAACTTATATGAATTCTTGTAGCTCATTATAAATATTGTATATTGTTATTCAATAGTTATTACAAATGTAGCAAAAGTACCATGCACTTTTGTCCTGGAACCATGAAAAAGATGGTCGACGGAACAATAATAGTGATTAGGTTTCACTCTAATCATGAGCGCTTGGATAAAGGGTCGGCAATAGGCGGCCCGAGGAAGGGAAATAACTGGACTGCCAAAAATTGTCTTAATTTTCCTATATATCCCATGTATCCCTCCCCCTCCGTTCATAACAAAAATTAAACTAATATTGAAATCGATTTATTAACGGCAATAATAACGGTTTATGATTATCTGTATTCTGTATTTCTGTGTTGTTGTTGAACGTGCCAAAGTCACGGCTGCGGGCTGAGTCGCTTGCATTCGAGTGTGTGTGTGTAAAAAACAATACTCAGAGGCGATCTATGATTTATTAGGAAATTACGATAGCGTTCATCGTATACCGCTGTTTATAATAATAGTCACGATAACAGAACACCATACATTGAACCTACTTCTTGAAACACAAATATTATTTAGTTCAATTTAATCGTTAACGCGTTGGTTCGTTCGTTTCGTTCGTCGAGAAATTATTATTATAATTATTCGTATTCGTAGTCCGTCGCGTACGTAGTGTTAAAACTTATTAATTTATAAATATTATTCGTGTGCAATCGAGTATGTTTTCTAAAAAACGTAAAGTTGACAATGAAAACAGAAAGTTTCTGGCTGAGTGGACCGAACAATAATGTTTTACACTTCCAGTAAGAGCTGGAGCCGTTCCAGTTTGTCTCATATGCAACTGTACAGTTTCTGTCGTTAAATGTGCTAATTTAAAGCGTCATTATGATTTTTGTGCGCTTTTTAGACGTTGAAAGTAGAGTATTTAGAGACGAGTTGCTAGCATTATTGCAATTGAAATGCAAGACTCGTGGAGAAGATTTGTTTAAAACTTTTGACGACTTCATGACTAAATCAAATATTAGTTATGATAAAATTGTGTCTATTTCAACCGATGGCGCACCGGCAATGATTGGTAAAGAAAAGGAATTTGTTAAGTGAATCAAGGATAAGAATGCTGAAATACTTTCATATCAATGTATAATTCATCAAACATCCCTGTGTGGCAAACTTAGTACAACACTGAAGGAAGTAATGGACATAATGATCAAGTTGGTTAATTTTTTGCGGTCCCGATCGGCTCTTCAGAACAGGCTGTTTAAAGATTTTTTATTTGAATGTGATTCAGTGTATTCGGATTTACTTCAACATAACAATGTCCGTTGGTTAAGTAAAGGCAAAGTGATCGAACATCTTTGGAGTATAAAAGAAGAAGTAATCACGTTCTTGGTGAACTTGGATTCAGTAGAATCAAAGCAGTATCTTAAATTCTTAACAAATGAGAGCAATATGCTATCTGTGGCATTTTTAAAAGACATTCTTGGATATTTAAATGTACTTAATACTGAGTTACAAGGGCAAAAAAAGTTAATTTGTGATCTGATATCAAGTGTATCTGCTTTCCGACGAAAACTTGAAATCTTTGAAGATGATATAAAAAATCAAGATTTTATTCATTTTCCAACAATCCTAAAATATAAAAAGACTTCCGATATAGACTTATGTTTTTAAGTTTTTTGTCGGACCTTGGTGAAGAATTTGGAAAACTGTCTCAATTTAAAAAAAAATCCGTTTGAAGTTTCTCTGACTGGAGAATGGATTGACGTTGCTACAGAATTATTCAAACTTCCAAAACTTCACTTCAAATGGAAATTATTGATTTTCAAGAAGATATCTCATTGCAAATGAATAAAACTTCGTCTACTGAAGATTTTTGGATAAAGCATGTCTTGAATAAATACATGAACTGTAAACCCTTGCCATAAAATTAGCTACTATGTTTGGCTCCACTTATATATGTGAAACTTCGTTTTCAAAAATGACGTTTTTAAAAAACCGATACCGTTCAAGATTGACAGATCACCACCTTGAAAACACTTAACGCATCAGTTGTCCTCAAAGAGTACCAGATTTTAAAAATTAGCTGAAGAAAAGAAATGTAATTTTTCTCATTAAACTTAATATACAATTTTGATATTATTAGTATGAATGTATAATTACTTTATAAATAATTAATGATAAAATTAAGTTTATGATTTTTTTGGCCCTCGAAATTTTTTTTTTTAATATTTGGACCGCCATATAAATTAATTTCCGACCCCTGGCTTAGATGATACCCCTGAATTAGTAGATGCTTTAAAAGCAGTACTAAAAAGAAGAGGTGCTGCTGAAAATATTTTACTAAAAGAAATTTATGACGAAGAGTGCCTAAATTTTAGAAGTTTTATTATTGAAAAATTAATTTCAATTGCATATACTTATTTATTGATTTAAGCATCCGATAGCAGCTAGTTTATATCCATGAATCTTTAATGCGTTTGATTATTATAAGTGATTATGAATCTACACTTAGAGATGTTCTACAATCGTATTTCCCTGAAGCTCGAACATCTGCTTGTTGGTTCCACCATAATCAAGTACCTACCTAAATAATACGAATTTTTATTTTAAAAAAAAGAATTATTATTTATTTATTTAGAATTTTTATTTTAGAAATAGAAAAATAAGAAGGTGCACTGAATGCTACAGGAAATATTCAGCTGAATTAGGCTACAAGTAAGCTAAAATTGAAAAATGATACTTCATTTTATTTAAATTTCGTATTTAACATGTTTTTAATATACACTGTATAAATAATATTATTATTTTTAGAGAAGCAGTAAACAAGGCAAAAAAAGTGACAACATTTTGCAGTATCTGTCCCTCAAAACCATTTGTGTGTCTCCAATGTTTCCAACTTCATCAACAACGATAAATCACATATTATATAATACTTAGTAATAATAATTTTTAATGTATAATGTTAATATAAAAGTAACTTTTTTACATATATTTAAGTAATAATAAATCTTTTATAAGTTTGAATATTTCAATAGTTTTTTTTTTCAAAACCATCTACTTTTTGTTGTCTACGCCATGGTAAAATCTATATTTTTCTATCTCCAGGCCGTATTAAAATAAATTTAATTTAAGATAATGTGGAATTTGGTAGCCGGCGACCCAAGCGGCCCCTGAAAAATAATTCGGTTTGGGTCGCCAGCTACTCAATTGGCTTCACAATAAATAAAATCATTTGGGCTGCCGGCGTCCATGTGGCAGCCAACGTGTTAACATATTCACTTAATGATTAGTATAATTAAGTTATTTATATTTAAATATTTTTTATGCAGTTTTTAAAAATATGAAAAGTAAAGGATACTATAGGCTTGTAAATACTAAGCAATTTTCACTGCAAAGCTTAAAGCTTTTATCCATATCAGGATATAGAAAGATCATTTCAATTAATTAAGATGTATGCAATCAACTATGGAGTAGCAATGCATAATTTATTTGACTATTATGAGAGGTAATTAGTTGTTAATTTTTAAAAATCAATACATATTGGATTGTTGTGAAACTATTAATGTATAAAGATTTTGTTTTTTTTTCTCTGTCATCATTTTATTTTAGCAGTAAAATGTTTTAATGTTCTACTCGAACTCAGTCTTTAAAGGGGTTTTCTGGAAGAAAATTAGATCTAATGTTTACTTTGGGAATAAGGTGGTTAAAAGTAAAAGTGCATAATATTTTTTTTTAAATATTTAAAGGGTTTTTTTGCTATTATTAGATAGTATAATTTTTCTTTTATTAGCATTTTTTTTTATCTACGTTATAAATTTAGTTTTTGGTTAAAAAGTATAATATATGGTTGTTCATAGGTACTTCTAATTGAAATTCAAAAATCTAATAAATATGTATAGGAAAATACCCATTGGAAGTTCAAATTTTTACGAAATTCGATATTTAAACAAAGTAGATAAACTGTATTTTTTTTTAATAATTCAAAAGAAATTGTTAGTAGTAACTTGAAACTTTTATGTATATTTTGTATTTTACTATCACAGTGACTTTTATAACATATATTTAGATTCATTTAAAGGTCATCTATACCCTAAACCTAATTACTTATAGTAGCTTATTAAGTACAGTTTACTCTCGATTATCAACTGTCTTCCACGGAATCGTCTACATACCTATATGTATACAAAAAAATATATACGTATTGTATAGAGGTGGGAATTTCAACTCATTTTGATGAATCAGCTCCTGTGAATCAGTTCATTTAAATGAACTGAATCATCAAATCAACTCTCAACTCTTTTTTCATAGTTCTTAATTCATGAATACCACCTTGGTTATTTTGATTCATGATTTACTTGTGAACTGACCACGGATTACGGACGTACAATACTACAATGTACTTACAGGACTGGGCGCGAGTCGTTATCACTGTTATCAGTGTGAAATTAGTGTCACACTCGGGACCATGGAATACACATTGCGGCATCTATTTGTGTTATATTTAATGTCGAAATTATTTTATTATTTTTATTTTCATTTTAATTTTTAACACTGAAATGGACATATACTATAAGTACTTAAACCACGGACGCTCGTGACTTATATTAACGTATATTTAAAATAATTATGAAAATTGTAGTTATAAAGTATTGTGATTATTCAACATACATGTTGAATAAAATAATTTAAAATTGAACTATAGATTTACAAAATGATGTGCACACAATATTATGCTACCTCTTAGTACCTAATGTAATAATATTTTATGAGTTGAATATTATGTATGTACCTACTATATGTATTGAAATAAAAAATATGATTATAAAATAACAGTTGTTTGTATTATTATTATAATTATTACTTATTGAGGAGTTCTGGACAAATTAATCTAAAAATAACTATCATCCTATATGATGGTCCTTATAGTAGACATTTGCATAACACAAAATGATTTGATAATCATTATGTATTAAACATATTTAATTGAATCATTCAATTCAATTAAAAATGTATAAAGTATTTTCTAAGCTTCTTTAGCTGCATAGAAAAAAAGTGTAAAATTGTAAAATGAGTAAGACTAGTGTTGTTTGGAACTATTTTAAACTGGATGATAAAAAAAAAAATGTAAAATGTGGTTTGTGTCGTCTTGAAATGAAACACAACCAAACATCCACTTCTAACATGATGAGACACATGCGTTTAAAACACTCAACAATTGATTTAAACAAACGCCGTCCTTCTAATATGCATGTTGAAGAAAATAATGTTGATGACCCTATAGTAATTGAAAATCAACTTGCATCTACCTACTTCAGTGAGTATTTTATGTACATTTCCTACAGATGAAATATTAATTAATAAAGTATTGACGGTTAAAATGCAATACAATAATTGGTAGATTATAAACTAAATACATGTACCTACCTATCTGCTTGATTAAAAAAAAAAAAAAAATGCTAACTACAAATTAAATTTCTTTTTTTATTTAATTAGGAAAGTTAAGATTTCAATGACAGTGTAACAGTACTTATTATATTAAAACTGCAAATATTTATTGTAATTTTATTTAACTTAATATAACAATTAATAATATTTCATTGGTCTTTCTCATGAATAATAAATTATGAATTAATGTACAGACTTGTCTTATTTTTTCATACGGAAAAAAAATAATTTCATCATAATTAAATTACAATATTTATATTTAACTATACATTTTATTTTAGTCGGACTCTCAAACTCACATGGCGACATTAAATGTTCATAGACCAACAGTTCATAACGTACAAGACACAATTACAAGGTATTTACCTAGACCAGTAGGAGCTTCCCGACGAACTTTGATTGATCAGCAAGTTTTAAGAATGATAGTTAAGGAATATTATCCATTCAGTATTGTCGAGGACAAAGAGTTTGGTAAACTTTTAAAAATGTTAAACCCCGGATATGATTTACCATCCAGAAAAACTCTGTCAACTTCGTTGCTTTCTGTTCTTTACAATGATATAGTAGAGAATGGTAATTTTGTTAGTATCACGACTGATGGTTGGACATCTGTAAAGAATGAAAGTTACATTGCTGTTACAACACACTTCATAGACAATGATTGTAAGCTTAAGTCATACTTACTCTCTTGTTTTATGTACTCAGAATCACATACCAGTGATAATTTGAAAAATGAACTTTTAAGAGTTATAAAAGAATGGGGTTTGGAACATAGAGTTTCAGCTTGCACATCAGACAATGCACCAAATATAACAAAGGCAATTGATTTATGCAAATGGAGGCATGTACGTTGTTTTGCTCATAGCTTGAATTTGGCTGTACAAAATGCTATAAAAGAAATTCAAGAGGTCAAAGAGAAGGTTTCAGGTATAGTTAGACATTTCAAAAAAAGTTCTACTGCTGCAGGCAAATTAAAATCGATCCAAGAACAACTGGGCTATTCACCTCCACTTGTTCTTATCCAAGATGTTGTGACAAGATGGAACTCTACTTTTGAAATGTTTCAACGAGTACTTGACTTGAAGATTCCTCTTTCCACAGCATTAGCAGAAACCAATTATAATGAGTATCTAACAAATAATGATTGGATTATTATTACTAGAGCCTGTGAATTATTAAAACCATTTAAAGAAATCACTACTGAAATCAGTTCTGAAAAATCCGTGACAATTTCAAAGATAGTAGTACTAAGTAAATCCCTCATTAAATACTGTAACAAAATAAAATCTGAACATAATACATGCATGCAAATTTCAAAAATGATTGGTGTTCTAGTTAGTGAAGTAGATGCACGGTTTAGGTCATTGGAACTAAATCCATTGTATGCCGAATCTACAATATTGGACCCAAGGTTTAAAAATTATGGATTCTTGCATCAGTATGCATTTAGTGAAGGTAAAAAGTCCTTAATTAGCAAAGCTGCAACAGTTAATATTGTAAGTAATACTCAAGAAGTCACTGTATTGCCAAATCAGACTGACGATGATTCCATATGGAATGATTTTGACAGTGAAGTGGGTTCAATAGTTCAATCTTCCAATCCTACAGCAGCATTTATCGTTGAAATCGATAAATATCTGCATGAACCACTTCTGTCACGGAGAGAAGATCCCCTGCTTTGGTGGAAACTAAATCAGTATGTGTACCCAAGACTTTTCAAATTTGTTAAAAAAAGGTTTTGTATCATGGGTACATCTGTACCATGTGAGCGGATTTTTTCCAAAGCTGGACAGACAATCACAAAAAAAAGAAGTAGGCTAACATGTTCAAAGTTTGAACAAATGATTTTTCTTAATTTTAATTTAGAATAAAATGTATTTTGTAAGTCAACCTACCTATTGAGCATTTTATAAAAATGGCAAGCTTGCAACTGTAATATTGTAAAATATTGATTAAATAAGTAGTTTATTCCTATTCCATAATATTTAAAAATGTAATTTACTTATTTCTTATTTTGTTCTTTATAAAATACGTATGTACCAGTTTGTTATTACTAATTTTTACATTTTATCTTGATAAAATTATTATTAAAATAAATAACTCACATTAAATTTTAATATTAAATAATCTATCATCCCTCATTGGATTATGATTTTGTTATTGATATTTGATTCATACTTCATAGTTCATAGGTAATTTTGCTAATTGCTATTAGTTAATACTTATTAGTATTAGTTAATAGTTATTACAGAATTACCTAGTTAATAGTTATCACTTGTCAGAAATTAAATAATTGAATTTAAAAAAAAATGCTTTATTTATTATCATAGACTAAAAAATAAAAATAAAAAATGTGATTTCTGATTACTAAGAGATAATTAACTGAATATGATTTCTGAATTAATTGGCTGTTATCACGTTAGTTACGAGTCGTATGAAATGAATTGTAAAACCAGTGACCCGTGACTTGTGACTCGTGACTCGTTTCACGAATCCTGGTAAATTGATAACTCAAACTCTGTTTTGAACTACCTAAATTTGGTTGGTCAAACTGAGTCACTTAGTTGCCGAATCTTGAATCACTGATTCAACTCTATTAGTTCATTTGAAAGAGTCGACTCATTGAGCCGAGTAGTTCATGAACTACACATGCCTAGTATTGTATCTTTCCATTATAAATCATTATAGGTTTAATTGGTTTGTGGATTTGTCATAGCCGATAACTCGATAACGACGTTAAATACGCTTATTTAATATTAATACAAGTGTATTTTTCATTATACATGTACATACATTCATTGTACATACATGTGTATGTTTTTTAATAATACATATGTAATAATAATAATTTTAAATTTCAATTTCCAATTTAGTTTTTATTATACAATTTAATTTTGCGGATTATCCGCGGAATTCGTTTATCCGTGGATGTCCTGCCACAATATTCCACGGATAATCGGGAGTACACTGTATATACTTGGTTTGTAATGTTTGTACTGTTGGTACAGTTGAATATTTGAACACTATAAATAAAACTTATTTATTATATATTTATACCTGTGTTTAACTAGGTATTGGTTGCGCCGTGTGGGAACTCAGATAATTTCAGTTTATGGACTTCCCAGGCGTACAAACAATAATATTGAAAGTTTCCACAATAAGCTAAGAATAAAATTTTTATTGACTCATCCCAATTTATGGATATTTTTAAGTATGTTAATCAATATTATTAATTAAATACTACTTATAAAACTATAAAACTGATTTTTAACGTTTGTAAACTAAAAATACTAATTATATAAATGTATGGATAAATGTAGTGATAAATATTTTATAATATAATTTATATTATCTAATGAATTACCAAACAAATAAGTATGCATCTTCTGATAATTCATGTTTCTGAAATTTATTTATAGAATTTTTCTTATAGGTAATTTGAGTAATTTATTTAATAATTACCATGTCATAATGAGGCAGCTTGAAATAATCTTCAACCTACTAGGAGTTTGAAGGCAAAATATTTATTACAATCCAAAAGACTTAAAAATGCCACAAGCCAATACGATGCTGGGATCATAAGTATGTGGCAGTTCATGCAATTGACATCGTATACCACATCAAGATATATATTTCGACATATAAATTGGATCAATGAGGTAGATCCAAATTCTGAGCCAGAAGTGGAAGTTGCTGCTGTTGTACAGCCTATTCAGGAACCACAACTGCCTATAGCTCCACAAGTGTCAACGTGCATGGTATGTTTGAATGCAAGAGCAGCAAATATTCAACAGCATATTGTTCTTCCTTTTGTTCATGCATGAGTTTGCAACTATTGCATTACATCCCTTCCAGCATCAACAAGATGCCCTTTTTGTCGAATGGAAGAAGTCACTTTTCAAAGAATTTTCTTAGATTAAACTTTTCTTCTAGCTTTGAAATATTAAATTGTTCATCAAACAATACTACACATCATGACATAACAATTAATTGATAATAAATTACTTAAAAAAATTATTATTATTATAAAGTTAAATTGTAGTTATAATATGTTATACAGTTATATCAAAAGGGTACATTTATTCTTTTCAATTTTTAAAAAAATAGTTTCGTCTAACAAACATAAAATAAATATGAAAAAATAAATACAGCAACCTCATCTATAGTACCCTTTTGAAATAAACAATAAAAATAATACAAAAACAAACCTGGAAATTATAATTAAGAATAGTTTATTACTTAAAATATTATTGTTTTTCATATTTTTATTCATGTTGCAGTACACAATATGATATGTCTGTGTTTCAATTAGTATTCGCCCTTAAACTGGTAACATTTGTTAAAACCTACTATATTCATTGGTCATCTATAAATTGGCTATTGATAGGTGAAATGTTTAATATTTTTTTGGTAACTTACGATTGATTGAAGTCAAGAATATTTAAAACATTTAACGTGTTAACAACTTTATTATATACTCGTTCCATATTTGTGCTAATAACTGTATTCCAAGGTGTATCGATAGAAGATGTATCCATACACCTTGATGTATTCTCTCTGAGAATTTATGAGATAAACTGATAAATAATGATACAAGCGATAAATATGAAACGAGTATTCTAGATATTTTCGTTTTTTTTTCACATTGGCGCCACAGCTGGATCACTGGTATAATTCGTGGTATAAAACATAGACCTATTAACAAATTGTTAATAGCCAATGGTATAAAATATATCCTTATCATTTTCACTCATTTAGAAGAATTGAACCCAACTAAACATTGATAAGCAACACGTGATAATTTTCTTATCAAATTATATTACGAACACGGCCTTCTAAGACCGTAATTATGAATATGTAAACTATTTGAAAAAATATCCATCGAGCTCTCATAATATGGTATGTAATATGGTAATTTGTTAATGTATCTGCATCTTATTTTTAAACTCCAAATTCTATAGTTCTGAAGCGTACTGAATGGTTCAAACAGCGTTCGAATGTTTACTTTCTTAAAAACAAATTACGTGGTGGTGGTAATACGACATACTTTTTAATTATTATTTAATACAACTCTGTGAAGGTATAAATAAATGTTATGAAAAAGTTGTTTTTTTAAATATGCAATGATTATAAAAATTCGTCAAGTTTTAATTAACAGCTTTACTGTGCAGTAGGTATCAAATGTGTCTCATCATTGAATATTTGAGTATGTAACTGTAATGGATGTGTTAAATTTAAAGAACACGACAAGAAATGATTCTGAGCAAAGACTGTCTAACTTTTTGGTAGGTACCTAACCTAAGTTACAGAGCATTTATTTTAATTACAAACAGATTTAAATAAAAAATACACATTATTGTAAAGTTAATTCATATTCATCGCTCCATTGACCACTAAGAATAATAAAAAATATATTGTTATGGGTATTATTTATTTTTATTTATACAAACTTTCTTATAATATAATGTGACCAAATTATGATCACACATTATCTTTGTAATAAATAAAAACGAACACAATAAGAATATTAATTAATAACAATGAAAGCTCGGGTCAAACTAGCCTAGCAATAAAGTTCTCAACTTTCTTTTTCAGGAGTTTCAAATAGGCAATTTACAATACTTTCCGTGAATATACTGTCCGAATAAATACGCTCCGAGCAAATACGGTTTATTAGTTTTTTTTTAATTCCGGAGGAATACGTTCCGGAAAAATACGGTTTTTAACTTTTGGATTCCGGTGATATACTCTGACACACTGGAGTGAGTATAGGCATGTCCTATCCATTCTTTTATTTTCTATGGTCCGTAGTCACTGAGCGCCGCCGTCCGAGCCGAGTCAGCCAGTTTCACCGACCAACGTACGACAACCACCGGGCAGTCCACCACAGTCTGACGTCATCCACTGTTATTTCGATCTAACGTCATTTTTCCACCAGCACACTACCGATCGAGTAGCGTCCCATAGTCGAGCCGTTCATGCACGGTCGCAAATCTGGTTGTCACACTAGTTCACCGTGCCTCTGATCGCGCCACGTTCCGTGGATGCGCGACGCCACCACGAAAACCCGAAACATAACCGTGAGTTTTATGTTCACATTTCCCCCCGTATTTTATGTAACCCCGAATAAACTATTTTTGAATGTACACTCGTAAGAGTATAAAGTATAAATCTAAATACTGTAAACCAAATATTCATTTGTTTGTATTGTAAATCACGTATGGAAATAAACGTTGAATACAATTATTACAAAATAACATACAGTGTTTCAATTTTCATTAAAAGTTATTTCTATTTAATTTATCTCCTGTTTTGAAAAGTGGCTTAATAACTGCTAGTTTAAATTGAATTTAAAGTATGGCCTAGAGCAGCATCTAATATCCAACATCATGAATGTTCAGATAGTAGATATAGAAGCTAGAAGATATATGTTCAGATATAGAAGCTTCACTAAAAATTAAACTAAGGAAACCTTCATCGTCAGTTATTCCTCTACTAAGACAAAAAGTTAATCAAGAAAAAGCTACTAATAGGGAAATTGTAAGATGTTTAATTGACTTAGCACTTTTTTTTGTCAGAAAATAGCTTTGCATTTCGTTATCATCTAGAAAGTTTTAAAAAGATAACCACTAACCAAGGCAATTCTAGCTCTAGGGGTAAATCGTGGAAATGGTGACCGCCAACTATCAGCCTGAGAATGACTTAGAAGAGATTAACATAGAATTTGGACAAGCGGACCTAACCCTGAAGACTAATTGTGACAAGGGCGAGTCTCAAGCAGGCAGCCTAAAAAAAAATCTATAGGTTCCAATAGGTAACTGTTGATTCCACCTCTTCGGACCACTTTGTACCCTACACAGGTGTACCACAA